TATATATATATATATATATATATATATATATATATATATATATATATACATATATATATATATATATATATATATACATATATATATATATATATATATATATATATATATATATATATGTATATATATATGTATATATATATATATATATATATATATATATATATATATATATATATATATATATATATATATTTTTTTTTTTTTTTTTTTTTTTTCAACAGCCATTCATTCCACTGCAGGACATAGGCCTCTCTCATTCACTATTGAGAGGTTATATGGCGGTGTCACCCTCTCCTGATTGAATGCCCTTCCTAATGAACCGCGGTTCGGCGCGTTAACACTTAACACCACGGCGGTGACTTCCCCTACGACACCTGCGTTTGACCTCTCAAGCCGATATGTCGTTTTCTCAGGCTCGAGACAGCAGTCAGAGCGTAGGCATTTTTTACAACTGCCGCGACGGGGAATTAAACCCGGGACCACGAGGGTCGGAGTCTAGTGCTCTAACCACTGAGCTATCGCGGCAGTATATATATATATATATATATATGTATATATATATATATATATACATATATATGTATGTGTGTGTATGTGTGTATATATATATATATATGTGTGTGTGTGTGTGTGTGTGTGTGCGTATCTTGTGTTACATATATATACATTTATGTATATATATGTATATTATGTATATGTATATGTATATTATATATGTGTATATGTGTATGTATATATTTATATGTATATATATATGTATATTATATATGTGTATATGTATATGTATGTATATTATGTGTATATGTATATGTATGTATATTATATATCTGTATATGTATATATAGATTTTGTATGTATTATAAATATATGTATATACATTTTATAGATTATGTATATGTAAGTTACATTATATATATGCACCTGTATATGAATATTATTTATATGTATAATTATATATATGTATGTGTGTGTATATATATCATACATATGTATATTATATATATATATATATATATATATATATATATATATATATATATATATATATATATATGTATATATATATATATGTATATATATATATATGTATATATATATATATGTATATATATATATATATATATATATATATATATATATATATATATATATATATATATATATATATATATGTATATATGTATGTATACATTACACACACAACCAGTTTTCCTTTGTGCAGTATATATATGTATATAGATATATTTAATATCGAGGTAACCATTACCGAAGGAAACATTATATACTCGAACTACCTTGGCATTAATGGTACTCTCCCCCCCCCCCTCCAAAAAAAAAAAGGCAATTTTGAGATTTAAGCATTTTTTTGGTGTAGGCCTACATTAGACACATTAAAATCTCGGGAATAACTTTTTCTTTTGAGGGGGGGGGGGGTTAGGGGGTAAAGTTCATAGAATTAGCTTAACACCGTCGCACGGATTTGCATTTTGTTTGTTTGTCTTGTTTTATTTTCTTGTTTTTTTTTGTTTGTTTTTTTTGACCGATGGATATGGCGGTTGGTCTCTATCACACACACACACACACGCACACACACACACACACACACACACACACACACACACACACACACACACACACACACACACACACACACACACACACACACGTCACGTGAAATTGGAAAATGGCAACTAATTCCAAATTCCAAGTTACAAAATTGCCTTTTGAATTTTGAGCAGTGTATGTATATATATATATTTTTTCTCAATCAGATTTTAAAAACTGATAACCCATATCCTAATAGACTATTTTTTTTAAGACCATTTAGGCCAAGGTCTGTGTAAGAATAAAAAAGAAATACATATATACATTGGAAAAAAAATACTGTAAACAACCCGGTAATGTGGATGTAAAAAAAGAAAATATCCTTATTAGTTAAAAAAGAAAAGAATTATGATATAGTAAAAAAAAAAAAAAAAAAAAAAAAAAAAAAAGTCTTACAGTAGGCACATACACACACGCACACACGCACACGTACCCCCCCCCCCCATACGCACACACTGCAGGATATCGATATTAATAAAGATAGATAAGCCATTTGTTTCATATCATTACAAAAACGGTTACACAGGAATTAATGGAATATAGTAAAAGTAATATTTGTATTTCAGATCGCGTGTTATATGTAACATAAGCCTCGTGTGAATATTAAGTTATATAGTAATGAGATTATGAATATTTAGTTCACCTTCGGCACCAATGTCACCTTTTTCACTCACTCATGAACACGCACACGCACACGCACTCGGATACGCACACGGACACGCTCACGGACACGCACACGTTCTCGGACACGCACACGGTCATTCAGTTAATTCAAGGTTATGTTTTTTTTATCCTTGTTTATAATTTTATGTGTTCGTTTCCTTATCTGCTGATTCTTCTTCTTCTTTATCTTTCTTCCACCTTGTCTGTCTCACCTCTTCCCCCCCCCACTCCCCTCTCTCTCTCTCTCTCTCTCTCTCTCCTCTCTCCTCTCTCTCATCTCTCCCATCTCTCTCTCCTCTCTCTCTCTCTCTCTCTCCATCTCTCTAGTCCTCCTCTCTCTCCTCTCTCCAGCTCTCTCTCTCTCCTCTTCTCCTCTCTCTCTCTCTCTCGTCTCTCTCTCTCTCCTCTCTCTCCCTCCCTCTCTCTCCCTCTCTCTCCCTCTTCTCCCCCCCCGCCCCCTCTCTCTCGTCTCTCTCTCTCAATCTCTCTCTCCCTCCATCCGATGCTCTTCTCTCGCTCTCGCTCTCTCTTCTCTCTCTCTCTCTCGCTCCCTCTCTCTCTCTCTCCTCTCTCTTCTCTCTCCCCGCTCTCTCTCTCTCTCCCTCTCTCCCTCTCTCTCTCTCTCTCTCTCTCTCTCTCTCCTCTCTCTCTCCTCTCTCTCTCCCTCTCTCTCTCTCCCTCTCCTCTCTCCTCCTCTCTCTCCCTTCGTCTTCTCTCTCTCTCTCTCTCTCTCTCTCTCTCTCTCCGCTCTCTCTCTCTCTCTCACTCTCTCCACTCTCCTCCTCTCTCTTCTCTCTCTCTCTCACTCTCTCTCTCGATCTCTCCTTCTCTCTCTCTCTCTCTTTCTCTCTCTGTCTTCCTCTCTCCTCTCTCTCTCTCTCTCCTCTCTCTCTCTCTCTCTCTCCTCTCATCTCTCTCTCTCTCTCTCTCCCCCCTCTCTCCTCCCTCCTCTCTCCCTCTATCTCCACCCCCGCCCCCCTCTCTCTCTCTCTCTCCCATCTCTCTCTCTCTCTCGTCTCTCTCTCTCTCTCTTCTCTCTCTCTCTCACTCTCTCTCTCTCTCTCTCATCTCTCACTCTCCCTCTCTCTCTCTCTCTCTCTCTCTCTCTCTCTCTCTCTCTCTCTCTCTCTCTCTCTCTCTCTCTCCTCCCTTCTCTGTTTCTTTCTCCTCTTTCATCTCTTCCTCATTCTCTATCTCACCTCCTCCTTCTCTCTTTTCTCTGTTTCATCCCTCTCTTTTATCATTCTCTATCTCATGCTCTTCCTTTTTCCTCCTCTATCCCTCCCCCTTCCTTTATCTCATCTTTCTTCTGTATCTTATCTTTTTTTCCTCTCTCTCTCTTACTTCCTTTCTCTATTTCTTCCCCCTCCTTTGTCTCCTCTTCGTTCTTTATTTCACCTCTTCCTTCTTCCATCTCTATCCCCCCTTTCTTTATCTATTAATCGTCCCACCGTTTTCTTTCTTATCCTTTCTTTCTCTCTCTCCCTCTTCCCTCCCTCCTCTATTTCTTTCCCCTTCTTTGTCTCCTCCTCCTTCTTCCACCTCTACCCCCCTTTTCTTTATCTCCTCCTCGTTCTCTGTCTTATCCTTTCTTTCTCTCTCTCTCTCTCTCCCTTCCCTTCTCTCTCTCTCTCTCCCTTCCCTTCCCTGTTTCTCCTCCCTCCTTTGTCTCCTCTTCCTTTTCTATTTCACCTCTTCCTTCTTCTTCCTCTACCCTCCGCCCCCACCTTTATCTCCTCCCCCCCCATTCTCTTTTTCATCCTTTCTTTCACTATCTCTCTTATCTGCCTTCTCTGTTTCTTCCCCTTCCTTTGTCTCCTCTTCCTTCTCTGTTTCACCTCTTCCTTCTTCCTTCCTCCTCCTTTATCTCCTCCTCTTTCTCTTCCTCATCCTTTCTTTCACTATTTCTCTTACCTCCTTTCTCTGTTTCTTTCCCTTCCTTTGTCTCTTCCTTCTCTCTCTCTCACCTCTTCCTTCTTCCTCCTCTACCCCCCCCCCTTCCTTTATCTATTCCTCGTTCCCCCTTTTCATCCTTTCTTTCTCTCTCTCCCTCATACCTCCTTTTTCTGTTTCTTCCCCCTCCTTTGTCTCCTCTTCCTTCTCTGTTTCTCCTCCCTCCTTTGTCTCCTCTTCCTTCTTCCACCTCTACTCCCCCTTTTTTATCTCCTCCTCGTTCTCTCTCTTATTCTTTCTTTCACTATCTCTCTCTCTCTTACCTCCTTTCTCTGTTTCTTCCCCCTCCTTTGTCTCCTCTTTCTTCTCTGTTTCTTCTCCCTCCTTTGTCTCCTCTTCCTTCTTCCACCTCTACCCCCCCCCCCCTTTTTTTTATCTCCTCCTCATTCTCTCTCTTATTCTTTCTTTCACTATCTCTCTCTCTCTTACCTCCTTTCTCTGTTTCTTCCCCCTCCTTTGTCTCCTCTTTCTTCTCTGTTTCTTCTCCCTCCTTTGTCTCCTCTTCCTTCTTCCACCTCTACCCCCCCCCCTTTTTTTTATCTCCTCCTCGTTCTCTCTCTTATTCTTTCTTTCACTATCTCTCTCTCTCTTACCTCCTTTCTCTGTTTCTTCCCCCTCCTTTGTCTCCTCTTCTTCTCTGTTTCTTCTCCCTCCTTTGTCTCCTCTTCCTTCTTCCACCTCTACCCCCCCTTTTTTATATCTCCTCCTCGTTCTCTCTCTTATTCTTTCTTTCACTATCTCCCCTTCATTCGCGCGATCCAATTATCCTCACCCAG